CTGGCATTTTGGCATTTCCTTCTCCCCAGTCTTCCTCCAGACTCTGGCACCTTGATTTCCGAATGACATGCAAAATTTGCTTTCATCTGAAAAAAGTACTTTGGACCACTGAGCAACAGTCCAGTGCTGCTTCTCTGTAGCCCAGGTCAGGCGCTTCTGCTGCTGTTTCTGGTTCAAGAGTGGCTTGACCTGGGGAATGCGGCACCTGTAGCCCATTTCCTGCACACGCCTGTGCACGGTGGCTCTGGATGTTTCTACTCCAGACTCAGTCCACTGCTTCCGCAGGTCCCCCAAGGTCTGGAATCGGCCCTTCTCCACAATCCTCCTCAGGGTCCGGTCACCTCTTCTCGTTGTGCAGCGTTTTCTGCCACACTTTTCCCTTCCCACAGACTTCCCACTGAGGTGCCTTGATACAGCACTCTGGGAACAGCCTATTCGTTCAGCAATTTCTTTCTGTGTCTTACCCTCTTGCTTGAGGGTGTCAATGATGGCCTTCTGGACAGCAGTCAGGTCGACAGTCTTACCCAGGATTGCGGTTTTGAGTAATGAACAAGGCTGGGAGTTTTTAAAAAGCCTCAGGAATCTTTTGCAGGTGTTTAGAGTTACGTCGTTGATTCAGATGGTTAGGTTAATAGCTTGTTTAGAGAACCTTTTCATGATATGCTAATTTTTTGGGACAGGCATTTTGGGTTTTCATGAGCTGTATGCCATAATCATCAGTATTAAAACAATTAAAGACCTGAAATATTTCAGTTGGTGTGCAATGAATCTGAAATATATGAAAGTTTAATTTTTATCATTACATTATGGAAAATAATGACCTTTATCACAATATGCTAATTTTTTTAGAAGGACCTGTAAATGGGGGCATTTCAAGGGCGGAGTCTGATGTGCGCTCAGCTCCACATTCGTTTGGATGTATGAAGGAAAGGAGCGCATGTTTTGATACATCTGAATATTTTGGTGCATTTTCACATTTTGTCCTGACACCAACTTTCCATATGAAAGCTGCACTCTTTCATACATGCGGCCCCTGAACTCTTGCTTCAAAGCCTCTGTGAATTAATACAATGTGTCTCTTCACATCACTTGTCAGTTAATGTGTATTTTCAGAGCTTTGCGTTGATTTTTCTTGTGTTTTCAGGACCCTGTGTTGCTGGGGTTGTTGGTCTGACCATGCCTCGGTACTGCCTTTTCGGAGACACCGTTAACACGGCGTCTCGTATGGAATCCACTGGGCTGCGTGAGTTTCCTTCAAACCAAATTTGAATGCTCTGAGCTGTTTTCTTTACACGGGCTCTTCTTGTCTCAGCTTATAGAATCCATGTAAATAACAGCACCGTGAAGATCCTCCGCTCTCTGAACGATGGATATAAAATAGACGTCAGAGGCAAGACGGAGCTGAAGGTAACAACCCTAGAAGCTTTGACTGACTCACAGAAGCCTTTACTCTGATGCTTTTAGCCTCGGCTGCATTAAGTGTGTGTTCTGTGTTTGCAGGGTAAAGGTGTTGAAGAGACATACTGGCTTGTGGGGAAAACCAGCTTTACAAAACCTTTGCCAAAACCACCAGAAATAAGACCAGGGTAAGCGTTTAAACACTTTCGTATCTCTTCAAATAATATGAATCAGCAACTATTCAGCCACAGTCATGCTACATTCTTTAATTTGTGAGTTTTGTCAGATGAAGCTTAAACACATGAACAAACTTTAACAGCTACAATATGATGAAGGTCAAAGTGAGTGTCAATAAGCAGTACAGTAGTCCCTCGCTACTTCTCGGTTTGTTTTTTGCAGACTCGCTCTATCGCGGTTTTTGCAAAATAAGATTGGCCATGACACACAATTGGCTGATTGATGTTTGAGCCGCACAATCAACATGTAATTTTTTTAATTTAAATTATTTTTAATTATTTTGCACCTGCTGCATCTGTGTGTAGCCTACAGCTTGCAGGGGAAGCTTCCTCCAGCAGTGTGACATATCTCTGTTCTGCAACGGAGAAGTGGGCGTGGCCAAGAGCGCTGGTCGATGACAGAGTGTAGCTGGAGGCAGAGAGCTGAGATCATGACATGCTGTGATCTTTTAGAACATTTGGAGTTAAGAAACATTGTTTAGAATATTGCAAGAGTGTGGGAAAGGTTTAATACACTCTCTCATCGACCAGCGCTCATGGCCACGCCCACTTCTCCGTTGCAGAACAGAGATATGTCACACTGC